AATAATATTAAAAATTAAATATTTTTAGTTCACAAAAAAATTTAATAAAAGGATTATGGTTCGGAAAAGCTTGATATTCATTAAAATATACAAGATTTATAGAATATCTATTCAAAAGTTTCGAACATGCAAGGATTGAGAATGCGCGCCAAAATGCGTACATAAGGGATCGCAAGTTTGTAATGAAAGATTCAGTAAGTTACATAGTTATGACTTGATAACTGGTTAAATAACATTATTAATTAACTTATTTAAAAATGCCATTAATAAAAAAACCTATGCGTTATGCACATCCAGAGGGACACACGGATGTTTGTTATTTTACTGGTGAAAAGTAAGTGCAGAAACAAATAAGAATGAATGCTTTTATATTTCATAGCAATATTTATTAATAATTGTAATATAAATATTTTTTACTATGTAAGCATTTACTTTATGTTTTTCATGATTTTTAAATACATTTTCTACTAAGAAATTTTGCAATTAAAGGAGGACCAGAAAAAAAGTTTAAAAGATTAAAATAAACAATAAGAAAATATGTAAACAAAATGGAAACATTTACATTTTTAGAAAAGGACTTGTTACTTGTGGAGCTGATGGAGATGTTCGATCCTGGTTAAATTTAATGGATGATGATCCAGCTGCAAGCTGTGTCTCAGAACAAGCTATATCAGTTGTATCAAAGGTACAAATATAAAAAGAATGTTAATTGCAAAGTTCATTTTCATATATTTATTGATTATAATGTTTTCTAAATGTTTCAATGATTTCAGAATGGGAAAATATTTGTTGGTAATGATAACAATACAATTCAAATTCTTAATTATCCTGATCTTGAAAAAGAAGGAATAGTTACTAGATTTTCAGCACCTATTTCAGCATTAGCAACAACCAAAAACAGCAATATTATAGTGTCAGGATCTTGGTATGTGAAATATGCACATAGCATTTTCATAATTTTCGATTCATATATTAAATTTTTATGTTATAATGTCCAACGTATATTATGTTACAGTGATATGAGAATTCAAGTTACTAATATTAATACATCGAATAATATAGAGTTATTGGGTCATGAAGCTCCTATACTGGGCTTGTCATTGGATCCAAAAGAAGAGTTTGTGGTGAAGTATATTTTATTATTAAATTTTTTATATCTTCTCATAAATTGTGCTTATTTATTAATATTCCTCATGAAACTCAATTTTTCTAGGCATCATCAAGTGCAGATGGCTCAATACGTGTATGGAATATTAAAGAGAAACGAGTTATAAATACTTGGGCTAATGTTGTTCCTAAATCTAATTCATTTTTTTCTGCTAAAGTATATGGTGTGCCTTCATTTCACCCTAAAGATGGAAGTTACCTTGCATATCCTTGTATAAAAGATGTAGTTATAGTTGAAAGATCTTCTTGGACAGAATTGTTTCATTTAAAATGTATTAATATAAAAAGCGTGCGTTTATTTTTTGTTTCAATATCTAATTTCTCTCATTATATCTCATTATATTCTACAATATTATTATTTTTAATATAGGAAATTAATATATGTAAATTTTCTGAATGTGGTACACTATTAGCTGCTAGTACAGTATATGGAGAAGTAATTGTTTGGAATATAGGAACTAAAGAATTAATTGGCTACATTGAACATCAACAAAATGCTAAAATTACTGCATTATCTTGGAATATTGATAAATCAGATGAAATTGCATTCTGTGATTCTTTAGGTCAATTAGGATGTATTGATGTGGTAAGTGTATCTAAACCACGTATTTTTAGCATTTCTGAGTTGTAAAAAGTTGATCACATTTCTGTTTAGGTAATATCTGATAAGACAACACTTAATGAATCAGCTTTAGAAACAAATGGAGATATCAAAGATAATGATATTGCTATGTCAGAAGAAGAGGATGATAATGGAGAAAACGTTATATCTTTAAATAAGATCAAAGAATCAGCAGACCTTGAAGATGACCAAATAAGTAATTCTGATGTAGTGTCTGAAAAATCACAACATGATACAAACATTCTTGGATCTGAAATTCACTTACAACCACCATTTCAACCTGGCTCATCTCCACTACATTTATTATCTCGATTTATGGTAAACCTTCTTTCAGTGTAATATTAATTCTACAAATAACAGATATTATGATGATGTATAATAATATAATTATTATTAATATGATGAATCCAGTATTGAAGTGGAATTTCATGATGCGACAATTCATCGTAGTATGCACATTAATAATTATTTAAGACATTCAATAGCGGCTTTATCACCACATGCACTTGCATTAAATTGTCCTTCAAATAGTGACACACACAGCAAATTTGTTGTAGTAGCATTACAAGGTTAATACTATATATAATCATTGTTTAAACTGTTTTAAACTAAGTCAATTAAAAGTAATTACAATTCATTGTAAAACAGGTTGGGGTTCTGGGAATAAAGAGTGGTCTTTAGATCTTCCTGAAGGTGAAGAAGGACATTGCATTGCGGCTGGTGATAATTTTGTAGCACTTTCAACATCTAAAAGAAATTTAAGAATTTTTACTGTAGGAGGCACGCAACGCGAAATCGTAGCTTTATCAGGTCCTGTAGTTACAATGAATGGATTAAAAAATGATTTAGTACTTGCTTATCACAATGGAATAGGTGCGTTTTTTAATTTTTTGATTATTCTTAGTTTTTACTTTGTAGTAACTTTTTAATGGAATTAAAATATTTAATCAGGAGCGTCAGGCGATCAGTGTATGAATTTACTGTTAATTCAAATTCGAGGAGTAAATTTACATAGTCGAACATTATGTCTTCCACTGTTACCTTCGTCGGAATTAATGTGGTTAGGACTTTCTGATCTTGGATCACCTGTAATAATGGATGCTGATGATGTTATTAAAGTATATAGCAAAAAATCTTCTCTGTGGAGAGTAGCTAGTGATATGAGTGAACAGGTAATCATCATGTTGCTTTATGTGACATATTGTATATTTTATTAACCCATTTAAAACAGTCTAAGGGCAAAGCAGATCATTATTTTATAATTGGAATAAGCGAAGAACAAAGTATTGCTCGTTGCATTTTATGCAAAGGAAGTCATTATCCTCCAACTACTCCACGTCCTGTAGTCTCAGAAATATTTTTAGCTCCACCGCTTTGTGCAATTGGAAGCGAGAAAACGGAACAGGAATTAAAATTATGGAGATTAGGAACTAATCCTTTGAAAGAAAATGAAGCAGTGCTGTCTCTTATTGCGGTACATTTATTACTTAATCTATTAAATTTATTTACGTTAAATAAATATGTACATATCTATTATTTGTATTCGATTAGCTTGCTTGTCGGAGTAATTTGGAGTACCGAGCGATAGAACTCTGTGAACAAATTGCATCGGAAAAAGTTATAGAATTAGCAATCAAATATGCACGAAGACTAAATCGAATAACTTTATCCAATAAATTGGAGACAATTGCTGACACAAAGGAAACAGAAAAGGAAAGGGAAACTGAAAATAAAAATAAAAATAAAAGTGAAAATAATGATAATTGTAATGAAGATGTTAAAAGTGATGACGAACCTCTGGATAATGATGTTGAAGAATCCACATTTTCATTAACTACCGTAAAAAAGCCAGATATAGAAATTAAACCATTATCTATGACTGAAGCATTATCAATAAGAAGAAGTAATCCATTCTTAAAAGGCGGTAATTCTCCGACAATAAAAGGTATTATTACTATTAATATGTTTAAGTATATTTGTAACAATATTTTGATCGAATTTTATCTTTAACAGGATTAGAAAACTTGGACATTACTCCAGAAAAACCAGAAAAATCACTGACATCAACATTAGCATCTTCAAAATCAAAGACAAAAGAGACAAAAAATGTGTCAAAAAAAGAAACATTCATTAGTTGGTACGCGAAAAATAAAGAAAGTTTACAAGAAGAATTCCCAGAGTTAAGTCCTGCTGATTTAACAAAAAAGGCTTTAACGAGGTATAAAGAAAAGGATACAGCTTTACCGAATAGTATTTCATCGTCCTTAGAATCGAAAAAAAGAAAATTAAGTCCCGAGAAGGAAGAAACTAATCAACCAAAACGAGCTTCGAGTAAATCACTTAGCTTGTTTGCGTTTGAGAAATAAATACTGTTTGAGATGTATAAACACGGTTTTATATTTTTATAACTTAAACAATTAATATTTATTAATTTACGTCAATGTAATTATTTTAACTGTATAATATACAATAAATGTCAAAGTATCATGTTTTAATACAGTTTATTCATTTAATTATAATTCCATGTCATGTTAAATTAAGTTTTGTCAATTCGTTCCGACTTACGCAAACGCATGGTGGTGGCGTTTCTATGTCAAATGACGTGCAATGCGCCAAATTTTGAATTATAAGTTAGCCAATAGTTATACGTATTACGTATTGCATACATTGGTGCGTTTGTGTTAGTGCGAAATGAAACCATAAACTTCAGTGCACAAGTATAAAACAAGTGTTGAGAGCATAGCAAAAATTACGGAACAAAACAAATAATTATATGCATCGATAAAGTAGATATTTCTAATTTGATATTTTCATCTGGCTACTTGCTAGAGATCTACATCGATAAAGCAGATAAAGAACAGCATTGGAGCTCTTTTCAGTTTACTTAAACCTCTAAACTAACACGGTAGTTGGTGAAAGATTCAAGGCTTGGAGCACGCGCACCGTTGTGCAGAGATAGTAATTACATAGATAAAAACAAATTCCGACAGAAATTTTGAAACATAATGCTTGAAAAAGCAATGAAAGGTAAGTCGATATATGTATTTGGCATGGTTCTACATTTATTTGTGTGAGTATTTCAAACGCAACTAAGTCTAAATATACATTTAATATAATGGCACAAACCGCGCGTCTTCAATTGCATTGTAGGATACGCATATGAAAAAATAACTAAAATTTCATCACTCATACGGAATTTTATAAGTTAAAAAATCAATAGTTACAGTTGTTAATATTAGAAATATCAAAAATATCTATTATGTATAATGTCATGTACAATATTGAACGTAAAAATATATTTACTAGTTTCTGTAAAAGCGCCTGGCTTTTGTATTTTATTTCTCATTACCGAAAATTAAATGTATAACGCAAATGTTACGGGTGCAATAATAATATAAAAGTTTATAGTAATCTGTTTATTTCTTAATGTCTTAAGTATGATCTATTAATAAATGACCTATGTAGTATAATACATTTCCCATATAACTAGACTTGTAAGATTTTATTTATCGATTATTTCGCAAAGTGTCAAACGTATTGACAACGAAACAATTAAAAACTATTTTTAAATTTGAGATATTGAATAGAACGTTTATAAAAACAGCTGTATTTTCGTATTAGCTATTTTTACCTATTTTTCGAAGTCTTCTGTACTTTATTTCAAATGCTTACCTACTTAAATATTATGAACTGAATATTCAAATATTGTAATATTCTTTTTATGAAAGTAAAAAAAAATGATAACTCTTTTTAACTGATAAAAGCAATATCAATCTATAACGTAAATAAATACTATAGGCATGTTTATGCAAACACGTTCTTAATTCATATGAACTTTTCTTTGCCCTCGAGATTATATTACGGTAATTTGAGTAATGCATAATGCGTAAGCACATGTGACATAGATACCGTTATTGCTTCAGAAAGTTGCATATAAAAATGGTGAAGCTAAGAACACGAATGTAATTATTCTTATATGCCAATTAACAAAGCCCAATAACGATGTTGCTGCATTATAACAGTTTTATAGCATGTTTATAATTGATTGCCATTAATGATACTCATTAATGCCATCTTATGTCATTAATGATGCTAATTAAGAACTTTAATAGGTAATAAATTAATCTTTCGTTGATATTACATTCACTTTTGTAATGGAAATTATATTTTCAAATAACAAATAAAACATTCTATAATTTATAATTGAACATATAAATTAAGTTAGAAATATATAGAATAATCTTTCAGCTAATATATTTCTATCATCACACGATTTTGGTGCTCTAGAGACTCATTACTATTTTCGTGTCACTTCCAACGTTACCGATTCGCCATAGAATAAGATTACAAGACTAAATAGTGCTCCAAATCCAAACTAAATGTATAAAACATGCTATATTTTGTTTATGCCTATAATTTTATAAATATAATCACATATGCTACTCCACAAAATTAAAGGAGCACTAAATTTTGACAGAAAAATTGTTGATTTTTAAACTACTGTAACTTTGTGAAAAAAAATTGTACAACAGTCTACATGGGATTATTGTAAAGAGTGAAGCCTCTACTTTCACATCTCTGAACTAAATTTTTTCGAAAACCCTTTTATATTATAAAACGGAGTGAAAAACTGAAGTTGCTTTTTTTCTTTTAATTTTACAAATTCAAACGGCTCTGCGGAGTTTAAACAATTTTTTTCGAGATTCGTTTTAAAATGATTTTGTAGAGGAAAGTCTTCCCTTTACAACGACCTCTAAAAAGTTGAAGTACGATTTTTTGTCGCCGTTTTATCGCACTTTAAATGAAAAGTGTGTTTTCCTCTTCCTTAATAAAGATCTACCATATCTTTGTCTGTGATAAAATAAAGACATCAAGATTTTTCATCTGTCGATAAGGTAGTAACTCATTGGAGGTAACAATTTAAACTACAAATCATAGGAAAATTTTTTCAAGCTGATTTTTATTCGGTTATTATCGTAACTTTAATCTTGTCATTCTTAGATCATCTAGTAACATAATTTTTATACGCAAATAATTAAGAATACTTCTTTTCAGAACATACTCCATTGGATGTGGTACAAAATGCTATGGGTGTAATGGGCCCATGGCATATTGTTATTGCAGTAGCATTATCTCTTGTAAAATTTCCAGTTGCTTGGCATCAACTATCTATTGTATTTCTTGCACCTCCAACTAATTTTTCATGTGCTGCACCTGTATCAAGAACTAATGAATCCACTATAATGAAATGTTACATAGACGTAGGAAATAATACAATGGAGAAGTGTACTAGTTTTAAGTATGACAAACGCATATTTAAAGAGAGTATTATAACTCAAGTAAGTTCCACCTATAATTTTATACACTGCTTTAAATAAATAAGTGCGCAAATTAATACATACAATAATTTTTAGTGGGATTTGGTCTGTGATAGAGAACAATTAGCAAATTTTGTTCAATCTTGTATAATGTTTGGAGTTCTTATTGGTAATTTAGTGTTCAGTATAATGGCTGATCGGTATGCTAAATGTCACAATGTAATAAAAAGAAAACACACACATATATATATATATATATGTGTGTGTATGAATGTAGAGCATGACAAATTACTAAGAACAACGTATATTCCTTTTCAGAATTGGTAGAAAAAAACCTCTAATGATTGCTATAGGTTTGCAATCATTAACTGGATTTATAACTGCATTTGTTCCATGGTATGAACTATTTGTAATATTTAAATTCATTTCTGCTGTAGCAACAGGTGGTACTATGCTTGTTAGTTTTGTTTTACGTAAGTAGTGTATAAGTTGAAAAAGCACTAAATAATATCATATAAATTTATTTAATAATAAAAACTTTTAGTGCTATTTTAATGTTTTAAAATAATCTATCTAATAAATTACAGTCATGGAGATTGTAGGAGTAGAATGGCGTTCAATAATGTCAGTTCTCTTTCATGTGCCATTTTTATTGGGACACTTAATGAATCCCTTAATTGCATACTTAACACGTACATGGGATGGTTTTCAAATGGCAGTTTCTATACCATCACTTTTTTTATTGTCATATTATTGGTATGTAATACTAGTTATTGAACATTAAAATTATTGGCTCCAAAATTTTTCTAGTGCTAGTTTATTCATTAATTCAGAATAGACTTTGAATAGATTTTCCAATATTATAGGATTATACCTGAATCACCAAGGTGGTTACTTGCTGTTGGCAAACTGTCAAAAGCAGAACAAATTCTGATTAAAGCAGCTGGTAGAAATAAAATACCATTAGAAAATGTTAAAACAGCAATAGAAACATATGAAAGTAACATAGGAACTCGTCATAAACAAAATAAAGAAAACTATAATATTACACACTTGTTCAGAACACCAAATCTGAGATTAAAAACTATTTGTATATGTATTAATTGGTTTGTTTGTGGTAGCTGCTTTTTTGGATTAGCACAATATATGGGTTACATTGATGGTAATATCTTTGTAAATGTTGCTGTATCAGGTATACCTACATATTGTTCATTTTCATATAATAAAAAATGACTAACTTTTCAATACCCAAAATTTGATATATCATTTTCAGCTGCCATTGAACTACCTGGAACTATAATAGTTCTACTTCTGATATCACGTGTATCACGGTTAAAAATTTTAATGGGTGGAAATATTTTGTCTGCTGCAAGTTTGCTTTTACTGACTGTGATATCAAACTCAAATTTTTCAGTGTTTTTAGCAACATTAGGTCTTGCTGGAATGGCACTTAGTTTTCCAACAATATATCTATATAGCAGTGAAGCATTCCCGACTGTAATTAGGAATGTTGGTGTTGGTCTGGGAAGTGTTTGTGCAAGGATTGGAAGCATAATTGCACCATTCATTGCAACAATGGTAATATCTTTTGCGTTTAAATTGCTCATACTTTATGCATGTATATAACTTATTTTTAGGGAAAAATTCAACCTTGGTTACCACCGTTAATATTTGGAGTTGGACCCTTACTTGGTGCTTTGTTATGTTTCCTATTACCAGAAACAATGAACTGTGAATTACCAGAGACAATTGAAGATGGTGAAAATTTTGGAAAGTCAGTATAAAGCAATATAATTTTAATTAACTCTTTATTGTTAAATAACATAATATAAACGCTGATCTGTATTGTAGGAAACAAACTAGAAAAAATACAACAAAATAACATTCTTTTAAATTACATATGTAAAAAATGATAGAATAACGACACAAGCCCTGCCAATTTTTAACGTACGTAAACAACAATTTTCAATAAAATATACCCAATATATATTAGAATTTTTAACTATGTAATTCTTTTTAAAATAATTTTTATATCTTAAAATATATTCTGTTTTTGTAATTAATAATTTCATTTGTTTGTCACATATCCTTAAGTTATTTTTTACATAACCTTATCAGCTATTTACAACTTAATACAATAAACGTTTTAATATGCTCTTAAGAGATTACTTTATATTAACGTTTATAAAATATTAATTTCGCAATATAACATTGACTTTAACCTACAGAAAGACAGATCTGTATATAATTTAATACTATAGCTAAAACTTATACATGTATATGTAATATCAAATAATTAACAAGTAATGTAAATATGTCTGCTAAACTGTGATAAAATGTTCGTATGAATTACCCTATTTGTATGTAAAAATATGTAGCTAGATATAATTAAAACAAGTCAGCCTTTTTTTTACGTTTGTGTCTTCAAAATGGTATTAAAATGAAAATATTAAATTTTTTTAGTAGTTTTGTGAGTTGTACATTTTGATAAAGATAGAAGTGTAATTTAATTTGTAGTTTGACCTAAGTAAAGTACTCTACTAGGTAAAAGATTTGCGACACTACTCGTTTTTTTATGAACAGTATCAAACATATGATTACCATACTTAACAGTGTTGCTTAGAGACCCAAACCATGAAGACATCATATTCTTAGGTAGTGTTTCTTCCATGGTGTTCTTTTTTATTGTACCTAAAACACAACTTGTTTATTGATTGATAAAGGACTTATAAAAGTTTATATAATTACTTACCCATGAAAAACTTTAAAATTGCCGTATTTACTTTATCTGGCATTTCTTGATGTGGAAAATGTTGAGCTCCTGAGATCACTTTTACATTAAATTTTTCAATATATTCAGAACTTTGTATCATATTTTCTATTGTAACAAATGGGTCCATATTTCCAATTATAAGTAAAATTCGAGTAGAAATCTGATCACAAGTATCTATATTAAGACGTATAAAGGGAAGATTTCTGTAATAATTGATTGCACCTGTCCAATCTTCTGTAATGAATAATTTTATTTTCAGTATCTTTTATATATCTATAAAAAGCATTAAGTAAACATTTTATATTTATTTACCTCTCCTACTGAATGCATACTTATATGCTTCCACATAATTCTGTTCATTATTTGGTTCATTTAGTTGAAGATGTTGAAATGCATCATTTATAATTGATAAATCTTCCTTTAGAGCATCAATTTCAGGAAGAAATGGTAATCTACTAAAATGCATCCATCTAAATAGTAATATAAATATATTAGAAAAACATCATTGCTACAATAAATATTAAGAAACTTATAAATATAGTTAATTTACTTTAAATCAAACACAGAAGCACCAGGTCTCCAGTTCCAATAAAAATTAGGATGTGGGCATGAAATTGCTACAAATTTGTGAATCATATCCCCATGTAAGGCCACCATATACCATCCTAAAAGTCCTCCAAGATCATGACCAATTATACTGCACTTTTTAACTCCAAAAGTTAAAATAAATTGTTTTAATTCTTCAATTAAAACATGAATTGTATAAGAACGTTTAGTTGATGGTTTATCACTATCTCCAAATCCTTTTAAATCTATTGCTACTATTCTGAACAGATATAAAAATTATTCTTACAGATGTAAATGATTTGATAATTTTACTGAATTGTTAATAAGAATTAATTGTACCTGTAATGTTCAGCAAGACATGGTATTTGCTCTCTCCAGGATAACCAACAATCAGGAAATCCATGCAAAAATAGTATAAGTGGCTTATTTTTATTTCCAGCTTCTACATAATGAAATTTTACACCCTATAGAAAAAAGAAAAATGTCCACACTTATAAGAAATTTTTCCTTTTGTAATGTTTATTGTGACATTATTTAATTAGTTATTACTATTTAGCTGCATTGTTAACATTATAAAATCAGGGACATTTATTTTACTAATTTTCATTGTAATTTTTTAAGCATTCTTATTATTGTAATTGTTGTTACGTATTTTTGGCTAATAATTTTGGTTTTTACAAATTAAATTAAATTTTTTGTTTTTGATCGTTCTTGCAAAAAAAAATTTGTCTCATATTAATATATGCACAACGAAAAAAGTGGACAAAAATATGAAATGGTAATTAAAAGGAGAAATTAACGTATTTGTTTTCATCATCCGCTAACAAAAATATTATAATCGCAACTATCGATTAAAATCGAATGTGTGCATCATCTGTTATGTATGTCGCGAAGAGTTATCAAAGGTCGACAATTTTTAGACGAAATTTAATTTCGTGTTATACGTGTAGTGTAAAAGCTTCGTAACTGTGTACTTACCCTGATTTTTACATAAGAATGAGTTCCTAAGTTATTGTCTACCAGGCAAGGTGGGGGTTTATCGCGCTGTTTCATCATAAAAAACTTTTTCGGATCCCAAACCCATTTTAAAAATCTTTGCACTATTAAATACCAGCCGTACACAAAAGAGAGGAGATGCAATTGAATTATCTCCAAAGTAGATATATAGACGATTTTATCGTTTGTAATCATAATTGTTGTAAGAAAACAGGCAAATAATCTTTCCAAATTTAAGCGTGTTTTACGTAAACTGTATTTGAATCATTCACTAAACAAACAGATGATTTCCCGATCTTAGTACATATATTTATATGTATGTGTGCGTTAGTACGTTTCAAAGCGGACGTGCCTTTCAGAATGAAAGTGAAGAATTATCGACCCATTTTTGGGTTTAATCTAACGATATAAATCGATATCATTCACGTGGTTAAACAAATATCGAACGTAAATTCTGCGCTTTCGGTGAAGTTGACAATGTAATACTGACTAAAGTTTTCATCTCCACATACGAGGGAGTAGAGGTCATCGTAAAAAGCGAGGTAATTTCTTATCGAATCTGTACGCAACGTCAAAATGAGTTTTACTGAAGTCTACGATGAAATGTTCCTAGAAATTTATTTCTTGAAAGTATTACGTCATCTATAGGAGACATTTTTAAACGAGTTGAAAGTAATTTTTCCCAGAATAATATGATGCATTAATAAAAAGATACGATTGTGTATACTTGGATCTTTTGTTGTATATTTCGAAATCATGCTTGAAATTATGCATTGACGTCTAACTTAAAATTTCATGTAATTATCATAATATGATGCGATGTACATTTCTTTTGAAAATGATTTATATATGTTATTTTCTAAATAATCAGTTTATATAGTTTTCTCACATTTTATGTACATATATAACACGTAGTATACAGATAGTGATAATATTTATAAAAGATAACAGTATATTCAAAGAAACTAATATCTATTCTACTAGTTAATATACAGGATGTCTCACAACGGGGAGTAGCTATATCTTTAAAATAGTTAATATAGTTCCATTAAACAAAAGTATGCAGTTGCAGTTTGTAACGGCATTAATGCATAAAAGTAATGGAAAACATATAACACTATTTAATTTTGTCTTCAAAAATTTGTTTCTATTTCTAACTATTTTAAAGACGTAGCTAGTCTTAGTTGTATGAGACACGCTGTATAATTTCCAGTCACAGATATTCATAGCCCATATTTTTTTAATATCCTACTGGTATCTTTTTTCTTATCTAAAATATAATAAATGCACGAAGCATGAAGAAATAAATACTAATAAACATATTTTTTATTTTTAAATTAATTGAAAAGTAGAAATGGTTTGGATAAGTGCAATATCACAGACGAGGCACAAAATAAACCTATCATCACAGGTCCAGATCGTATTTACAATATTCTCTACTTTATTAACACAAATTTAATCGTGTATCTTCTTTATCGGTAGTGCATAACTCACATATCGGTA